ATGTACATATATATATATATATGTGTCTATATGTGTGTAGAGATTAGTTCTATTGCTATTATTCTTCTTCGTGCTCTTATTATTATCGACACTGTAATTATTGTTATTGTTATAGTATAACACCTATAGAGAGAGAGCGAGAGATACATATATACTGATATATTGATGTAACTTATTGTATATTTTTCAATCGTAGGCAGCAACCCGATGATGGCCTCCGTCAGAAACCTCCAGCGCCTGGCAGCCCAAAGGACGATGCCGCGGAGAAGCAAAAACAGGAATGAACAGAACCGTCATCGCCAGCCTCTTGCCCCGGCACCATCCGCATCCACAATGTTGCCATCAACATCATGGCCTTCATCATCATCATCATCATCACCAAGATAAACTGTATCTTCATCGTCATCATCATCACAACCACCATCACTCCAGTCCTCGGCATACTCCTCACGTCATCATCACCCTCGTCATCATCAACAGCCGCATCAAAGCTGTGGCAGTGAGCACCAACGCAACCATGACCGAAAAAAAAAAAAACTCGCTTGTATGAAGAGACGTGGCTTCCTTCACTCTGCAAATAGGGGTTTAGGGTTTAGGGTTTAGGATTTAGGGTTTAGGGTTGAGTACACTTTCCTGCAGCTGCAAAGGGACCGGGTCAAGCAGGCCAGGCAGTCTCCCCATCGTCCTCCGCTTGCAGGTCCAGAAGCAACTTGGCAAGGCAGGTCTGAGTTGAGAGACCAGAGACATCATAGTAATAATACGAGTAATAATAATAACCCAATAGTAATGATAATAATAATAATACCAATAGTAATAATAATAACAATAGTAATAATAATAACAATAGTTATAATAATACTAGTAACAAAATGCTGGTGAATATATAAGTCTAGCAGCACCGTCAACTCAGCAAGACTCAACAGCACTGCAGACACTGCAGCACTGGGAAGAAAACGAAAGACGCGGCTGCTTTTGGAACCACTGCTTTTTGAACCCTCTTCAGCTCAAACCAACGGAGAGCTTCCACAAGACACCAGACTCAGCTTTCTCCGAACTGAAACCGAGGTTGCTGTATGTAACCTCAATGCAATCTCAACGCACACCTTCGAGTAGCCTACGTGAGCTCTGACGAGTTGTTACACCCTCTCAACTTGGACATAAAGTTCCAAATCCAAAACATGTAAACTTGACTGTATTGGCCGTAACCAAACACCGCATGGTGCGGAATGCTCCTTAGACAAGGGCCTGGTGAAGATGGATTTGCGGAGCATGGACTCCGCGTTCCTCAGGGCACCACGGTCAGCATCAGCATCTGGATCGAGATGGTCATGTTCACTATCACTCTAATCCTCGTTGTCGTCATGTTCATCAGTGTCTCCATCGTCACCGTGATCGTCCTGATCAGCATGGACAACAACAACGTCATCATCATCATCTCATCGTATATCACCGTCATCATCATCGCCACGAAGATGGCCTAGCTCCTGACACGTAGCAAGACCTTGCATCATCTCAGTCTCAGCGCTGAACCAGGAGGAAGACGTTCCTGCAGCAGAGCTCATGCAGCGCACTGACCCCCTTTTATAATCGAGATCATGGAAACAAGGACGATAACGCTGGTGGTGGTCAGACTGCTGAGCGTACTGGCGGTAGCGGTGCTGACCTTGTGATGGTGGCGATGATGATGATGATGATGATGAGGGTGAGATGATGACGATGATGATGATGATGGTGATGACGATGATGGTGATGATCATAGTGGTGGTGATGATGATGGTGACGATGACGATGACGATGACGATGACGATGACGATGATGGTGATGATGATAGTGGTGGTGATGGTGATGGTGACTATGACGATGATGATGATGATGATGAGGATGATGATGGTGATGAGGAGAATGATGATGATGATGATGCTGGTGATGATGATGATGATGAGGATGATGATGATGATGGTGATGGTGATGCTGATGCTGATGACGATGATGATGGTGATTACGATGACGCCGACAATGCTGATGGTCATCATCATCGTCACCATCACCATCATCATGGTGTAATGATTGCGGTCATGGCGGCCATGGCGATCATCAGGAAGATATCGCTGACGGTAACGGTGACGACGATCCTTGTGGTGGTGACGACTGTGTTGTTGCGATGCCGATGGTGCTGTTGCTGGCGTTGGTGGTTGTGGCGGAGGCGCGTCGTCATCATCGTGAAATTCGTGACACTGCCCCTTCCATGGTGCTGGGTAGCAAAGGTGATGATGGTGATGATGCTTCGCCGGTGACCGCAAGACTGAGGAATGTGTTGTTCAGGACGAAGGCGATGAGGGTGACCAGTGCCATCACCATCGTCGTCGTGTCATGTCGTGTCACCGCCACAGCAATACCACTTCCGTCAACAAGGTCTCTGCCGTGTTCAGTCATATCTCTAGTGTCATCGTCAGCACAGCCACGATCGGCACGTTGGTCAAGCTTCTCATGTCCCCGTCATCATTTTTGTGAAACCAGAAATCGCTTCATTGGTTGATTGATTGCCTGCGGGCGCTAGCAGCGCTGCTGGGCAAGGCACTGGTGGCCGTACCGCGCTCACCATGCAGCAATGCCGTTACACACCCAGTCCACGTCACGCAGCAGAGGAAGCAACTGACATCCAGATAAAAGCACCGCACACGAAAATTTCACATGTGCCACGCTCAGGACATCGTGGTGGTTAAGCTTCTCAGCCCTAAACCCTAAAGCCCAAAACCAAAAACCTCAAGCACATCAAACACCTTGAAAACCTAAAACCTTAAAACCCTTCAAACCGTAAAGTCCTAAACCCCGAAACCTTAAAATCGCGCCTGGCCACCCCGACCAAACCGCTGGGCGCTCCGAGGTTGCCAAAGCCGGCCTTCACAGCTTCTTGCGACCGTCAGTCTCGTCGTCACAGTATGCGCAGAAGGTTTAGGGCTTAGGGGACAAGCATCAATGGGAGGGCGAGCAGCAGGAGCAACAGTATCCGCGAAAGCAAGACATGTGGGAGTGAGGGGGGCAGGGGGTAGTTCGGGGAATTGGGACGGCAACCTTCGACGAGCCAATGACCACCGCTTGCGCAGAGCTGTCCTGCCGCATTCCAAGCTTCACGCGCATGCAGATGAAACATAGCAACAAGAAGAACAATAGTACTAATAGTTCGAATAACACTCATAATAATAGTAGTCATATTAATTATAGTAAGACTAAGAGCTAATACTTGCAGACTTGCATCACGCCGTTTCTCGCCATGTCCAAGGACGGCCCCTGATAGGAGGTCCGGCGACCCTGAACGAGCAACGCTCTTTAAAGAGAGGAGCATGAAAGCATCTCCTGTTGGCAGAAGGCCATGGGACTCATAATCAACAGGTTGCGGTTTAGGGTTTAGGGTTATGATTCCTGCCAAAACTGTCCAGACAACTCGATTACGCAACCTGCTGATGGCAGAAGAAACGGATCTCGTGCGCCGTCACTTCTGTAACGAACACACTCAGAAAGTCACGCCTGGCAAATCCAGCGTTCTTAAATGGAAACAGGATCTGTTTTGGGGAGAGAAAGCCTTTAGAGAAGCTTGTTCTAAGACATGCATTCTGAGAACTGCTCCATTCTGACTATCAGTGACTATCAGACATCTGCCTGTCGGAAGCAATTGTATCTCCCACTCAAAAAGCTCAAAAGCTTTTAGAGTCATTAGATCTCCAGCACATGGCTGAATTCCTTCCGGCACTCGGTCTTTGACACTACTTACTCTGCCCAGTGTTGATGTGATCGAAATGGCTGTCATATATGCAGTCGGTCATGAATCCCACTACAGCTGCCAAAACTGCTGTCGCTGCCACTGCTACTCCGACCACGAGTTAGCAGTGGTTATCGCGGCAGTAGTCATCGCAGTAGAAGAGCATGCAGCAGAAGCAGCAGCAGCACAATAGCCACCATTGGCAGCAGGTGCAGCAGCAGTAATAATGTTGTTGTTGCTGTTGTTGTCGTCGTCAGCTGTACGTACCATGACCGTCATCATCATCGCCACCATCATCATCATCATCATCATCGTCATCATCATCATAGCCACCATCACCATCATCACCACCATCGGCATAATAATCATCATAATCTTATCATTTGTCACGGCTGGTCATGTTGTAACAACCGTGATTCGAGAGATACTGCCACCACCATACTTGCTGGAGCTGTTCCGTGCTTGACGACTGCGGTCTTCAGCTGGTTTCAGCCACTTCTTCCGCATCTTCAGATGCATGGTTTGTGGAGGATTAGGCAGGTACCTGAGTCCCGGCTAAGGCTTGCGGTACAGCGACCTCAGGCAGGAAGATGGACATTTGCAGGACTCTTAGAAGAGTCGATGCACCGATCTCGGGCCCCCCAAAGGGCGTGAATTGAACTGGCAGGACAATGTCCTTGGAGTGTCCTGAAGACAAGACACCTCAGCTCGTAAGGCGACCAGTATGGCCTGCCAGGCCCCATGGCCCAGCAAGCCTGAAGGCAAGAGCCTCCTGCGGATATCACTCGGATTTAGATAGCTACCGGGCCCATAGCAGCCCTGCTCCCTTGTCAGCTCACATTCAGGCAGCCCCGATGGAGGACCAGAGATGCTGAACGCTCAAAATCCCAGTCTGCCCGGAACAGCACTGCCAAAGAATGTCCTGACAAGATTCACAGGTCACTTTTGCTATTCTGGCACTCTCCACGGCCGAGTCGACTGTACCAGTAACAGCTGATAGCCAACATAAGAAGGAGGTATAAGACTCGTGGCGACAGGCCTACATGCGTACATCCATTACTGCGGCCATCAATGACTGCCAGGCATGCCTCGCACCTATCTGACGGCGAAGTTGACGCCGTCAGTTCCAGGAGTTGAACAGGCATGGCTGATGAATTCTGGGTATGCAAGCTGCTTTGCTTTGAGCCTTTTCGCGCAAGCCGGCTGTTGCATCCATTTGCATCCTCACTTTCGTCAGCACTCAGACTTCCCTGAAAGCGGCGATTTCAGCCTGAGAAGAGCCGCGCTAGAACTGCAAACACCAATTCGAGGATATGAGAGGCCTAACAAGGCAGTCGCATTGCGACAGTGGCAAATCACACGACGTGTCAGAAAAGCTGTCCGTGGACAGTCCCCTGCGCCAGATGTTCCGCTGAGCTCCTGGCACGAAGCAAAGCTTCGATACTGTGGGTATTCACCATAGCCGTGGTTCCAAGCCCCTTGGCATTGCGACGCACTCTGCCAAGCTCATCTCAGACATCTCACATCTCGTGAAGCAAGGAACGCCGGCTTTCCGGAACTGTTCTGAAGCGTCGCGAATCGAATTGTGGTGGAGCCTTCATGATCACTGTCTGTGCCCGAGCGCTTTAGCAGCCGCTGGTCCCTAACCCGGTGGCACTCTTTGGCGCCAGCTGGGCGCTGACTTTGGCGCCTCTATCTGCATTTTGCAGCCAGGCCAGGGCAGTGGCAAGGGGCAGTCGTCAATATGATACTGACTTATATACTCAGTCTTACGAGACTGTTACTGACAACAGCAAACAGGAGAAGACCATCACCCGACCCTTTTTGCTGACAACTGCTGACCAAGCCTCCCTCCCCTAGTGCGGAGGAACTGGGATCTCAATTTCAAGGCCCCTAAACAGTGGGTTATTGATCAGGGGTGTACATTGCCCCTTGGCCTCGAAGGTCTCACGGCCTCACGACTGGATCGCACAGCACATCGATGGCAGCCTCATGCGCATGTCTCATGATGTCTGATGCCGTGTACTCCGATGCTCTGAGCTGTCGGTCCTGCAGCTGCAACATTCGCATTTTCCGGCGCGGTGCGACTGTTGTGCCTCACTTTGTAGGTCGCGACTGGTCCCTCAGGGGTCGCATGCAGGGCATGGGCATCGCCCCGAGATCCAAAGGGGAGCGCCGTTCTTGCCCGGTGCATCTCCCACCGTCAAGCGGCGCCTCTTTCGCTCATTCTGATCGCTCTGATCGTGGACCTGCCTTCCTTGCCTCGGTGCAGTGGGTGCGGATAAGGAAGCAAGACCAAAACAGCCGCAACAACATGAGGAAGCTTTGAGAACAAATGCAAGACTTCCACGACCCTGAACATAGAAAGCCTCGACTTCTCAGACAGCTCAGCATGGCGGGGCGAGGTGCACGAAAACCTTCTCAACTGTGGCACTGCGTAGTTCAGCCGCTGTGGGTTCGCTCTTCGTTCGCAACGAGAGGACGATGAAGTCGGCCTGCTTTCCTGAATGCAAAGCACCCACAGAATCGACTAGTGTTGGTGACTGGTTATGAACACTGTCATAACTTGAGACCTTGTTCTATCCTGAATGGTCCCACGCCCCAGCTGCAAAGCAGATCTTGATCTCTAAGACGAGACAGAGACAGAGAGAGAGAGAGAGAAGGATGACTCCGCTTCCTAGCCGCTTTCTGCGAATGTTCGGTCTTCATGGATATGGGTAGCTCTAAATTGGGGTCCCTTTTAGGGTCCTTTTTATAAGGTACTAGGTTGGGGACCCAAAAAGGGACCCTATTTTTGAGAACTACCCATATCCGCTGGGCTTGATCTATGTATTTTAGCTGTTCTGGCTGCGACGTCTCTTGCCCTGCTAGCAAAACCAGGGTGTTGGAATAGCGTGACTAGCACTGCTTGAACGACTACTTACTACTGCCACTACCAGAAGACTGACATCAGTCCTAGTGTCTTCGAGCATTGCAACTAGTCTTTGTAGTAACTGTTATTCCTCGCGCAGACGAGGCGCCTTCCTCGAGACCGCCCAGGCGGTCCTGACGGGGCCCAGGGGCAAGAGTCACATCACCGATTTTTGTTGAAGCGATTCTGGGTTTAGAGTTTAGGAAGGCTCCTCTGCCCATGCTGCATAGGCAGCTTCGGTGGTATACATGGACAGAGCTTCGGCAAAGCTCATCCTCTCCTCAGCATGTGCGAAACGACTGGAGAAAGTGTCCACACGATCCTGAGTAGCCAAAAACAACCAGTTATAGACAACGACCCAAACCAGATTGGCAGCTGACTCAAACAAGGCATGCTCCATCGCATCAGCCATGCCAATCAGCGGAGTGGGAGACTCGACAGGTGCATCACTGCCACCAGCGACGCGCACGCCGCTCTTCATCAAAGTCTTCCAGACATAGGCATACCTATATCGCTCTGTGGCCTCACCTACGCGAGCTTTAACGATTGGAAGATCGGAGGGCACAAACTGCGGCTGAACGTTGGCAATAATTCCCAACTTCGACATGCGGCTCACCAAATCCCGATTCAGAAACTGGCAGTGTGTCAGCACGGGCCGCTGACTGCCAGGCATAAACTTCTCGAAGGCATCAACTAGATCCGTGGCTGCCCGATCACCAATTGCATGGGCTTCGACTCTGAATCCATGCTTCTTCAGAAGGGCTAGGGTGGAGTCTATTTCTGGACGTGTCATCTGCATAACGCCACTATTTGTCGGGTCGTCCGCATACGGCTCGAGCATCGCAGCTGTGCTCGCGCCAAGGCCCCCATCGGTCCAAATCTTCGCACGATCACAGGAGAGCAGGCCCGAGGGATGCGATGCTTTCGACTTCGGCATGCCTTCCTCTCCTACAGCCTGCCACTCTATCGTCAAGAATATCCGACATGGTAACCTGCCTTCATCTGCCAAGGAGGCATAGGCATCGAATGGTCGCCGGATTCCTCCCAGATTCTTGCCATCATTGGATTGCAGGAACGTGACACCGTTCTCCACACAGAGCTTCAGCCCCCTCAGCAGAATCGCCTTCTCCCGCTCCAGAGGCTCCTCCTCCTTCAGGTTTCCAAGGAGCAGCGTCAGGGCGCTTTCTTTCAAAACCCCTGTGGGCTGCCTGTCGGCATCTCGCTCAACGACACCGCCCTCTGGATCTGGGGTCTCTGATGTGATGGCGCACTTTCGGAGAGCTGCTGAATTCAGAACACAGACATGGTGACACCGCCGATAAAACACGGCTGGGATGTCAGGAATGCAGGCATCAAGATCCTCCTTGTTGGGGATCCGGCCAAGGAGGTCTTGATCCCAGCCCATGCCTTCTAGGAGCTTCAAGGGGGGATCCTCCTCCAGATGCTCCCGAGTCCTAGGTCATAGTCGGGATCATATTTAAATTCTGATTTTTTCTAGTTCTGATTCTTATTACTTCTTGAATTTAAGTACCATAAACATGGCAAATCTTACCCAACTATGACACAGAGTCCGCTTCTGCAAGTCTGCGATGGACTTGCAATCACCCAGGCTCACGGCGGCATCTGCTTTCCCCAAGGCGAAAACCTGGGCGGCCCTTCACAATCATCACCACTGTAACAATAACAACAATACGACGGAGGCCAACATGTACTTTGTGATGCCTCAGGCGCAAGCATGCAAGTGGCTGTCTGCCAGTCCAGGCAAAACAGTCCGCCCCTCCAAGTCCAGCTTCCTTCCTGCAGACTAAACCTTAAACCCCAAACTCTAAACCCTGAACTCTAATTCTCATACCCTAAACCCTAAACTCTAAACCCTAAACTTTAGGTAACCTTGAGCTACCTATTACTAAGAACCACAATCAAACCTCAAGAACAACAGTATATTAATAAGAAAAGAACGAGAGCAGTAATAAGACTAAGAGTAGCAAGTAGTAGCGAGTAACTTCGCTTCTAAGAGCCGCCTGGCCTTGAAGCGGTGGCGGCTCGCCTGGACCCAGCCCCTGGATAAGCCCGCCCTTCACGTGCATCCAGTTGTTGATGACGACTTTCTCATGGCGCAGGCTCAGGATGTGTGCATTCCAGAGAAGTAGGGGCTCTGGATCCTCCAGCGACATAAGGCGAGTTGGAGCGACGGCGGCTTGAGGCCAAGATGCTTCGGAAAACACGCTTAGGAAGCGTACAACCCACCCCAGAACTCTTCTGCTAAGAAACGGGAGACACCACGCTGCCCCAACACAACCCTAAACCCTAAACCCTAAACCCTAAAACCCAATGAAGCACACGGTCACAAAGCAAAGCGTGGAGGACTCTGCCTGCGCCACGCCGCGGTTCACAAGGTGGGACGTGGAGCGCACCGCGATTCGACACAGCTCCTGAAACCCTAAACCCTAAACCCTAAACCCTAAACCCTAAACCCTAAACCGTGAAAACAAGGGACCCCCATGTTATGGAACTGGGATCTTTCATAGGGTTACCCCGATTTCTGAAACTCAAATATCGGTAGAGAACTTACGTAGGTGAGAAGGGGCCATCGTGTCTGCAAAGAGTCTCGTTTAGGGTTTAGGGGTTGAAGGGCCCAAAAAAGATCACCTCAAGGCAATCATCTTGAAGCAACTTCCCCACAGCGGGTGGGGTGGTAGGTTTCAACAGTTTTAGGCGCACATACTCGCTCCAACTAGGCCCATCGTCATCCAGCGAGCAGTTTGCGGCTATTTACGGTCACCCACAAGCTCTCACACCCAAACCGCAAACCCTAAAGCCCCCCCAGGCCTCCCGACTGGCCCTCGCCGTCTTCGCCTCCTCCCCGGGCATGGGCCCCAGCTCGGCTCTCATCAGCACGTCCACGGGCTCTCCCACAACGTAGCATCCGCCGAAGAGCGCATCGCGGAAACCCCCGGCACCTGGACAGAACCGTAGCTGAAGCTCCGTGAAGGCGACATTTCCGTGCTTTAGGGCACTTGATCACATGATCACATGTAGTAGCCAGCAGGGTTTTTCGGACCGACACGCCACCGCCTTTGGATCTTAGCTCGCAGGGTTTCAGTCCCCACGCCGATGTTAGTTTGTAGGTGTTTTCCCATGCCGTCGTTGGCACGATAGTTCATAGGGTTCTGGTAGGATTTGCTCTGCCCACACGTCGTCTCTGTGCAACACATGGACCTAGACCCTCAAGCCCTCGTTCTTGAGCAGCCAGTCTTGAAACTGGATGCTGTGATCCTAACAAACGACACTGACGATGGTGATGATGATGGTGGTGTTGATGATGATGATGATGATGACAAAGATGGTGATGATGATGATGATGATGATGATGATGAGGATGAGGATGATGATGATGATGATGATGATGGTGATGATTATGATGATGATGATGATGACGGTGATGATGATGACGATCATGATACTGACGATGACCGTGATGATGATCATGATCATCATGGGCATGGTGATGCTGAACGTGATGATGATGATCACCATGATCATGATCATGATGAGGATCATCATGGACATGATGATGATGACCGTGATGATGATGATGATCATAATGATCATGATCATGCTGATGTTGATGACCATGATGATGCTGATCATGATGATGATGAAGATGATGAAGATGGTCATGTTGATGGTGATGATCATGATGATGATGATGACGATGATGCTGATGATGATGATGATGATGATGATGATGATGATGATGACGATGACGATGATGACGACCGCTATTCTGGAAAGTTGTGGACAACGATCGAAATAGAAAACGCAGGACACCAACAATGAAAATACAACGATGCCCTCTGATTCCAAAACTTGGCAAACATGGCTTGAAGCCAAAATGGCCACGAGAGCATATCCCGCCCTCAAGGCCCTGATATGAATGATCTGGATTGTTACTCCGGGCCCGGCACCCAACACGAGAATGAAAATACAAACACAAATGTCCTCTGATTCCACTTGCTCGGATCGGAATATCAAATCGTCTCAGTCTTCGGAGAAAAAAAAGAGGTGGGGATTTATGGATTCCAGGTTCAGGCCTTGGGGTTTCATGGCACTGTCGCAACTAGATAACTCGGAGGCGGAGCTTCTGCACGTCTGATACTCAGATGGCATGGCAGAACCATCCTCCGAGGGGCTGCTCGAGTTTCTGCACTCCGGAAGGAATCTTGGCGCTGATGTTTGCGAGAATAGGGCCCCCCCCCCGTAAGAAGGTATAACATGTACTATTTGACGCCCCCTGTCCCGAGCCGCGCGATTGTACGCATTCTACCNNCCCCCCCCCCCCCCCCCCCCCGATCACAGCTCAAATCCCTCGTGCCTGGGAGACACTTCAGGGCGCCACCCAACTCCAAGGCCTCTGGAAAAGCAGCGAGACCGCTCGAATTCTGTAGATTTAGGGTTTGTTTGCCGCCCGTCTTCTTTGCAAAAACCGAGAAGTGTGGATTTACTGTTAAATTTAGGGTGTAGGAGTTCGTGCTAGGATTGAAGATGCATCTTTCATTTAAGGGGGCACTCGGGGTTTAGAAGGTATTCTAGATTTATATTAATAGTTCAATATTTTATTATTACTATGATTGTGCTGATTATTCTTATTCCATTAGTACTCTATTATTATTCTGTTGCTACTACTATTTTTGTTTTTTATTTTTAGGTTTATTGCTGTAGGTTTGTTGCCCCCTTGTTGCGCCAGGAGGGCTTCAGAGCAGTAGGGCCTGGAGCGTAGGACTTTCTGGCATGAAGGTTTCCTGTTGACTGATACAGTAGGTATACATAAATAATCATCTGGAAAAAATAAATACATATGTATATATGTATTTTATTGCAATCATTGTCATTATTATCATTAATATCATTGTGATTATTATCGCTATTACCACTATAGATATACTTATTACCGCGAACTCTCCTTGCCAATACAATACCCCAAGTCCAGCAATGGTTCTGTGACTTCTGCGTACTCCTGCCACCGCCGGTGGGGCGTGCTTTGACAAAGCAGAGTCCCTCTAGTGATCTCTACTGTCAACCGCTGGCGATGTCAGCTACAGTTCTGCCAGCCATCTGCTACAGACAACAACATGTCACTCGCGGCTGCCTGCCAAATGGCGAAGGCTCCCATGCGCCCTGCCAAGGAGGTCCGCAGCTGGCAGATGCACGAGACCTCACGTGGAGGCACGAACTTCAAAGTACAATTAAAGCTCACATAAATACAGCCAGACAGACACCGGCAGGCAGGCAGGCATGCAGGTAATGTGTGCATGTGTGTACATGTGTGTCCATATGTATGTATATATATATATATATGTATCGGTATATATGAATGTATGTGTGTTTAAAACGAATGGAAATCACACTCACAAACATGCGTGCACACATGTGCGAATAGTTCTGCCCCTGAGACTGAAGAAATCCATGACGAGATATCCGAGGTCTGCAAGGCATCCGTCCTTTCACCTCATATTCGCTGAGAGGTCGGCTTCCGTGTGTTGGAATTCCTCAGAAGCCATGGGTGTCTCAAGGGTCCAACAAGTCTTTACACCGAACTCCTAAAACCAAAATCGTGAAGCCGGCAGGCCCCCCAGCGGGTATGAGTTCTAGAGAAGTTCTTGAGAGACGACTGTGAACTTGAAAGGTTGATTGGAGGGCAGTACTCAGGCTTTACACGGGCTGTACTCAGCGTTTCACGGTGTTATAAGAGCTTGGTAAGAAGCTCAGGCTCGGAAGCAAAAGCGCGGCAGCAAAAACGTCGACATGACTCAACTTTGAGAACATGAACCACGAAACAGGTGGGAACCTTCTGGAATTCCTATATAGATGAGGAACGACAATAGCAATAGCGATAGTGCTATGACTATTACGATTACTATTGCTATTAGCAATACCGTTACCACTGCCATTGCCATTATTATTACCATTACGACTACGATTACGATTGCAATTACTATTAATTACATTCTATAACTACTCTCTTATTTGCTCTTTGCCACCAATATTGTAACATGCTTATGATTATTACCATTATTATTGCTACTGTTATTCTTCTTATTATTATTATTATTAAAGGCAAGTTTCCGGAGCATCCCAGAGCTGCAACGCCTTCAGAGGAGCCAAGGGCCTGCTGGGCGCTGGGGCCATGAGCCGCGTGGCGCCCAGGGGCAAACGCAGCCGCGCCCTGCTTGGTTCTCGGGATGGTCGAGAGGGTTTAGGGTTTAGGGTTTCGGGTTTAGGGTTTAGGGTTTAGGGTTTAGGGCTTAGGGCTTAGTAACTTAGGGTTTAGGGTTTAGGGTTTCGGGTTTAGGGTTTAGGGTTTAGGGTTTAGGGCTTAGGGCTTAGTAACTTAGGGTTTAGGGTTTAGGGTTTCGGGTTTAGGGTTTCGGGTTTAGGGTTT